ACAACAGTCCCTGCTACCTCAAGTAAGTCTTACTGGCTCTATTTCATTTCCTATAAAAGTTAATTATTCCAGGACAAGGAGAGAGTTACAGAAATACAAACTAGCAATTACATTAAAAATTCAAGTTTTACGGTTTGTTAGTATTTTAAATGTTGAAGGAATTAATTAAAATTAATACACTCAAGGGAGTACTGGAATATACTCAAGGGAGAATACACTTAACATTATTAAAGGAAATCTATCCAGGCAAGAGTTCAGTGTAAAAGTAACTTACTTCACCTGAGAGACTTTTCCTGTCTCTTCTCAATTTTGGACAGTTAACTAGCACATTCCATAGAAGAATGGAGAAGCTAATTTCTTTTGAATAAAAAGTTCTGAATATTTTGGGAAATAGTTTTATTTAAAGGAACTCTTTCTTCTATACAGGTTGATATGTAAAAATCTTACTGTATTTTTCTTCATATAGTTTTTAAGATCAAGCAAAATTGGTATGGAAGCCAAATGTTCTTCAGGTTCTGTCAACACTTTGTCAATATGACACTCACCTAGAATAATTTTTATTTGAAAATACTTAGTGATTGGAACTTACAGAGAAATATGTCTCACTGAAACCAAGTCTCCTTTTGTATTTAAGACTAGACAGCAAATATGAAAGATCAGAGCTGGATTTCTCTGAAGGTGTTGCCAAAAATACCTCATTACTGAGATATTGAAGGGATAAATTCTTAGAATTTCTATAACCTGAATGTGAGGCATTTCAGATACAATTATAGCAGAAAACCAAATTATTTATGATGTTTCTGCAAGACATAACCTGATTTGTACTTAAAACACATCACAAATCAGGACAGCATTGGCTTGTCAGCAGGAAACCAAGCAGCTGTGGTGCTTTAATCCTGCTAATGAAGGTATTCAAAATCAATGAAAATAAACATTAAAAAAATGAAATCATAGTGACCTGTAAATCATTCTGATGTGACTCTAACAATAAATAATTCAGCTCTTATTCACTCTCAAGCACTTGTTAATGACTTTGTTGGTTGAAACACTTGGTCTCAAGTAACCCAGGCTGTCAGAAACCCTGTTCAGGGTTTTGAACAGGCAAGAGAGGTGAAATTTACCAATTAACTCCAAATCAATTTTCATGACAGCATCAGTATTAGAAAATAAAAACAGAGAGGACAACAGAGGCAAAGTGTTCAAAAGACTTGTCAGGCAGACAGAAAAAAGAAGTCCTTTCAAGGTGTGATCAGTTTTGCATAGTGTCGGCATTTCTGATCTTCAAAACAAACCAAAGCAAACCAAAGCTTTACAGCTCAGTTACATTTCTGAGCAATCACTGGCATTCAGAAGTGTCCAGTTCAAAGAGACTCATCTTATTATCTTGCAAATCAGATCCATTTAAACTTGCACAGAACTCCAGGCATGAATAAAATATTAAACTTTAGTAGGCTCTTTCAAGAATTATGTCAATCTTTATGTAACACAAAAATATTAGTACTTGCAGAAATAAATAAATGCTATAAATACATTTGTAAAAGTAATAAAGATTAATCCAATACCTGTGGTGAGGTATTTGACTTCCTTATATCATTGGATAAAGTAATGCATTTTCCTGTCAGTCTGCCTATATGTAAAGTGGTAGGAAACTAAACTTTCATTTCAGTTCTTCTGCAGTTCTTGTTTTGCTAAAGTACCTTACAAACAACAGACAGCCTCTGCTGACAAGTCATAGCAAAGTTGGTCACCAACCAAAATTTATTAAACTGGAAAAAAGAAAAAAGTGCCCTAAAAGGACCGAACAAGACTATTTTGTAACACATAATCCCAGTTTTAAATGTAGAAAAACCAGAGCATCTCAATAAATTTTTAGCAGCTACCATGCTGGCATGCACCTGGGACTCATCTACCTGCTGGATGTCCTACTATGGACACTAACTTGAAAGACTCAGGGAACATTAAATTCTTAATTTTTGGTGTGCTGTGTATAGCACTGAGATAGGAAACACTTGCCTGACCTGTACATTGACATAGTAACTTGTTCTTTAAAACATTTTTCCTTGTGGGAGGAATTTAACTTTCTAAAGACTGAAATATCAAGAAGACTGGAGAAAGAAAAAGGAACAAACCAGCCCAAAATAAATAAAAAACGATGAATCCTAAGCTTTAAACTTAGGATTTGAAAGGCAAAACAATGAAGAAGTGCAGGTCTTCTAACAGTCATGTCCATTGCACTAAAGGCAAAGTAATTTTAATATCATTTAGTTCATTCTTAGAAACTTGTAAAATTATTCAGTTAAAAAGAAGTACAAGTATAAAAGTATAAACTACTGATTGAAAGTTAGTCAGAAGGTTTTTTTCAAAAGATACAGACTGAATAAAACTTGCAAAATGCTCCATTCTAAAGCAAAAAACTGTGAAGATACTTGTCATAACTAATTTAGTTTTTCTTGGAAAATAAGGTTATGTAGGGATTTGTAGGTTTTTTTTTAAATCTGTCAGTCTCACCTTCATGTTTCCAATACCTATGTCACTGACTAATTCCAAATAAATTTGAAAAGGACATATAAACCCTTAAAGTACTGCATCCCAAGATGTTTCATGGAATGAAGACTATGAGCATCAACTCAAGTATGGAAAAGATGCCAAGTGTATTCAGTTGTTTATTAACAAAGCATTCACTTTCAGAAAGGAAATGTCAATCCCTAATGTTAAATCCATACTTCAAACATCTTGTTTCAAAATGTAATGAAGAAAAACTATGCAACATTACCTGACATGAAGCTATGTGAAAAATTTCATTGAAAAAAAGGGTCAGGAATTTGAACTCTGATCCCTTTCATCACAGTGCAGTAATTTCCAATCAAAGGCCACCCCCTCTCTCAGAAGTGTTACTGTACCATTGTGCTGTGGTACTCAGGTGTTCTGCTAGGGCTGTATGGCAACAGCAGTGACAGACTTCAAATGCCACACAAATCTTGAGTAGCATCCCATTCTCTCTGGCCACTAGAACAGACACAGCTGAGACACCCGAAAAGACAATGACTGGAGGTGACAGCAGAGAAAAGGAATATAAAAGGAATATTGTTACTGTGGTGCTCATCCCCTGAAATGCCAGGTCTAGTTCATGCATACATCAGGATAGTTCCTCTTTCTTCTTGTCTTTTTTTGAACATAGTGCTTTTCATTTGTATCAAATGCTTAATTTCAATTTCTATTTCCTTTTTGCTCTTCAAAAAGCTGTGAAACCTACAGTTGCCCTGTGTCAGCAGAAGTGTAAAAGGAGTGGGACTCTGGAAAGCAATTATTGTTCAAGCAACTTTGGTAAGGAAGCAAAGTTTCTTTTTATTTATTCATTCTCTACTGTGTTTTTAGACTCAGGGAAATTTTCTCATATGTAGTTCTAAGTTACCATTAATACATTGGCTAATATTTTACACCGCTGTATCTATGTATCTGACATTAGATATGTACTGTGTTTCACTCAGTACATTCTTGGAGATATTTTGAAATAGGCACTGCACAGGTATCTGAGACAAACATACCTTCTCAATCTGAAAAGCAAATGACAATGTAAGACAACCCCAGGATTCATTGATTCAGTTACTGTATTGTCATCTCCATTTTCTGTAACCAGCCAATACATGTTATGCTGCACCTGCTGACTATTCCACAATACAGTGGATACACTTCCAAAATGCTTTGAAAAGAAATTAGAAGAGATGGAAACTTCCAAGCACTGCTGTCTGTACACAGACATAAATCAGTCAGGAAAAATGGTGTCTGTGGTGTATTAGCATCTGTCACTACTGATCTATTCAGTTATGTGTCAGGGTATTTTCCCTATTAATACTGCAATCTTTTTTTAATCCCCTATAACATGCCTGGCAATTTGATGAGAAAACTGTCTGCCACCACCCTTTTTTCATTTTAAGATGACTCTCTCTTACTGCACTGCTAATCCCATGAGATTTGAGGAAGTTGGAGGGATCTGAGGGCGTCTTTGCCTGATGGTGCCCAAGCAGCAGGGGAGGCTGTGGTTGTACCCTGAGGCTGGGTGGACTCAGGGAGCTCCTCCCAGCCCTCACCACCAGCCCCTTCCAACCTGCAGCCCCTACAGGCTGGTCCAACACAAAAGAAACAGGTAGGGAAAAACCCCAAACCATAAAGGGTCTCCACTTACTGACCACGCGTAGTTTGTGGGCCCCAAGATGGGCAACTCCCGGGGGCTCCCCTGGCAGGGGAATATCTAGTTCTTAGGGAATTAACTATTCCCTGCTGTGGGAATCCAGGGCTCCCCTCTGGCTGCCCTGGCAGGTCTGGTACCCTGGCAGGGGTCAGGAACTCCCCTGTACAAAGCCCCCAGAGACGCTGTCTGTGATCTCTGTCCATGGAAAAGAGTTTTCAGTCTTACAGGATGAATTACAAGCTTTGAGTTTTTGTTAAGAGTAATAGTTAAGTGTGACACCGGTGCAAATGTAAAATTTTAGGTTTCTAGATTAGGGGTTCAAAGGGGACAAGATGGAGGAATTGGGTGTGTCTTGTCCTTTTCCTCCTTCTTCATGCCCTCCATGTTTCACTGTAGTGTTGGCATTTTTCTGTTGGTTTAGGCTGGGGACACGCTGTTCAACGTAGGTGACAGATATTGGCACGTTATTGTAAATATAGCACAGGTAGTTTCTGGTATTTAATGTTTGTAACATCCCACTGAGGGCAGAGCCCCACACACTGCCCTGCAGGACAGAGCTGTGGCAGGGCAGCAGAACATGTTATAGATAAGCAAGAATAAACAACCTTGAAAACAGCACAGATGAATTATGGCTCCTTCTTTGGCAACGGGGCAGAAAGACAGAGACTTTCTACAATCTCGGAATCACCAATACCCACAGATTCCAACACCCTGCTACTCATCTGGGAGTGTCAGAGAGCTGGGAATTCAGATTTTGGCTAGACGAGTTTTAATTCAACTTCTCCATAATTTGAAAATGACTCATTAAAAGTAGTATTAAATTGTACTCTTTAATTGAAATCAGAGAACTGGGCTTGCACAAGACTGACACATTGTACAACAATTTCATATTTGGTGCCACCAAAATTTGACAGTAGTGAGTTAGTTATTAGCAGTGATACTCATATTTTCAGCAAGTGTTCCCAGTACTGCTTGTTTCCTTATTAGGCACTAATATAATTAATAAATTTTTATGATGCCTCAAAATTTATGTCTCAAAATAATAAAAATGTACCAAATATATCAAATGTCTTTTCTTCTAGTAATAACTGGAACTGTAATCACAGCAGTAACACGGGCTGGCAGTCTGCATGCAACAATATCCATCATTAATGTATATAAGGAGGGAAATTTAGCAATCCAACAAGCTGGCAAGAATATGAGTGCCAAGATTCTTGTTGTGTGTAAGCAGTGTCCTCTCATCAGGAGAGGTAAGTACACAGTAATAACTGCTTTGTGTGTTTATAAAAGATAACAGTTGTAAAAACTACTATTTGAAATATGACCAGAAAAAAACAATAAAATCACCATGTTTTTTTCTTTCTATAATCAGCAGTTAGTATTAAAATAAATAACCAGTAATTCAGGGGTTTATTGCATTTTTCTCTTTTACTGCAAAAGGATTAGGCTCACGTAGATCACAGGAGTTTGGAAAACTTTTTTAATTAAAAGCCACGTGATGCAAGATAAAATGTCACTTTCAGCTTCATCTCTCGGATGAAGCTGAGATAGATTTTGTGTTTACAGATATGCATTTTGGAGCTAGTTTTTATACACAGTTGTTCAGAAGGGAAAGACAACAGCCTGCTAAACCTAGAAGAGTGGTATCTCACAGGAAATGGCAGAAATCAAGTTCCACTGTTGTGTATCTCCTGAATTATTTACAGCTTTACAGAAATACTCATAGTATTAAGCCCACTTTGTATCTGCAAACAGCCAATACTGCTAAAAGCTACTTTAAATAATATTATACAGAGATCACCAAACATAAATTCCAGTTAATTGTGGTAAAGGTGTTAAAAGAAATACTGAGAGCATTTTTAATTGAAGTAACTAAGTAAAAAATAAAACTGTTTTTAGCTTTGCCTAAAAACAGGTAAAACACGAGAACATAAATGGAGCCAGAGCAGGAAACAGTCAAAATAATTTAATAAGTATCAAAAAAACCCTGATATCATTCCAGATAGTACCAGTGCTTAAGCATATTAACTCAAAGTGGGCAGTAACAAAGTGAAAAACCATGATCAGAAATTAGCTTTTGCCTTTAGTTATCTGAAAACTACACATTGGGAGACATAATAATGTCCTTGGTGAAAAAAACTCTCTCCTTTTAGGCAGACTTCTGGCTCCAAACCACACACTTCTGTTTCTCATCCTAAATCTCAATTAATTATTTAAGAGCCATTACATAATATCTGAACTTTTCTGTTTATATCCCTGTGATACCATTCCTTCTAGCCCAAGACCTTGCAAATCCCCAACCCTTCTAAGGCATAAAAATATGCAGATTCAATTAAATTGTCCAAAGCCAGGTCTTACCACTCATTAAGTCCACCTTGCCTGAATGCTTCTGTGTGTATCTAGAAAATATTTACATCTCTGTGGAGGAAAAGGGAATGAAAAGAATTAAGGGCATTTAATCTCCAAGCTGAACAAATGTGAAAATATTCAAAATTAATGAGACATATTCCACCCTGGGTGACAGTGGTTAGGTTATCCAGTGTTGATGGGTACTTCTAGAGCCTCTCAGACTCACTTGACAATCTAAGTTTAAAGACTATCACTATATATTTAATTATGTAGTACACACTTAGCTGTGTATCTGCTTGATTTTTACATAACTGTAGTTTGTGGTGTAACAAGCATGGCAAAGATGGGTAAGGGAGTAAATGTTGCAGATAGGAAAGAAAAAATGTTGGAAGGCATTGGTAACAAACAGAAACCACAGGTAAAGAACTATACTTACCAAATGACGTCCCAGATTTCTGATCTGTAATCTCATTCTGTCCTTTCTAGGTTTAAACTACATCATCATGGGCCAGGTAGAAGAAGATGGTAGAGGCAAAGTCTTTCCCAACAGCTTTGTCATGAGTTTTAAGACTAAGAACTCAAAGATCCTAAATGCCTTGAAAAACAAAACATGTCAAAATTGAACTCTGCAGCTGCATTCTATAATCTGTCTTGAAAAATAATTTTAATTTAGCATAAGTCACAGAAATACAACTGACTGCCAACAGTATGACCACGCTGACCCTTCCTTCCCTCCTGTCCACATAAGCACACCTGGCACAAAGGAATCCATTACATGTACAAGGTGACAACAGACCCTCCTAAGGCTGACAGCCGAAGATGTGCAGCACAGCCATCTGATCTCAAACATACAAATTCCAATTACTTGGAAGATGTTAATTTATAACTGTCCAATTTTTTAAGGAGTTTTGTATGTAAAATAAGAATTCTAAGTGCAATATTTATAGCAACTCAGTTCAATGTAGCTTTTTCTCTAAAGTTGTTTTATTACATGGATTTCTGCATTATTATCAGTACTTAATAAAGTATTTTAAGATTATAAATAATTAATAACTAGTTGGTGGATGATTTAAAGTGGGGCAGCTAAGTATAGAAACTGGTTTTTGATCATTTACATGATTTTTATGGTTTGGGCCTTGCACATTTTAACTGACATTACACTTCTTGCTGATTAAGGGTCTGATTTTCCTTACATGGAAATCAGTGAATCATTGATCAGAACAGGAACTCTTCAAAGAACTAGACAGCTGTAAAACAACCCCACACGTTTTTCTATTGATGACTATCTACTTAGTAAATGTCACTGTTAAGTTCTGTAAGGTAAGATAGAGGAAGGCAGGAATTAATTTAGTGATGGTAAGGTGCATATAGAATCTAAGATCCCTTTAAGTATTTGTTTTCCTTGTATATAAATACCAGACCAGAGTTTCTGGATAATCTGTGACTATGGGCAGCCAACAAATGCAATAAAACAGTCCCTACTGGAAGTACCCATTGCTTATTCCAGCAGAGGAATGCATTCCCTTCACTGATGGATTCTCACACGCAGTGCCAAGAGGCACTGCCACCCTGCAGCTCGGCAGCACAGCAGCCTCTCCCACAGACTTTATGGGTAGCTGGGCTGGGGACAAAAGGATCAAAGGGGGGCACAGAGGTACAAAGAGGCTCTGCTGGCAGCTCACATCCAACAGCTCAGTGCTGCAGCCACACTTCAAAGATTGCATTGCCCGACTGACCAAACCAAACAGCATTTCTCTGTGGAACCAACCGGAACCTTTCTTTGCAAAGCAGATGTAGTTTTGTAATTTTAATTTTTAAATTGGAATTTTAATTTTCCAGCATTAATTCCTATGCAGGCTAAGGGATTTTATGCACAGTGCTCTTTGCATTTCTTTGCAGCAGCCTGGAGAAAAGCAATGTGGAAATCATGCTCGGAGCTGTCTTGAACTACAACAATCTATTTTTATTTATGATGACATGGCCATCTGTCACACAGCTTTTTTCAGTGAGTCAAGAAAGGACTGGCAGCTTACTCATCATCTGCCAAATGGAAGGTAGGGAGAGCTCCTGCCTGCTCTTCTCAATGCTCCCTTTACACCAGTTCCTTTCCCAAATCAATGCACTGGTAGCAGTAGGCCTGAAACAGGGAACAGAAGAACAAGCAGCAGTGCCAGTTTTCTCAAGTAAGAGTTGGTTACAAAACACAGGTAACAACTGTTACTAGTTTTTAAACCCAATTTGTAGTGACTGTAAACTTAAAAAATTTGAAATCTAACTTGGTGATTAGCAGCCACAAAGCTTGGAAGAGAACAGCAGCTTTCAAATAAAACAGAGATGTATAATGTGATTTAACTGAGGTATGGCAGAGAACAAACTTTTTTCTGTCTCTCTCATTCTTCAGGTTTCTATTTCAGTGACAAGTAAAAACTCCTGAACTCCCAATCCAAAACCTCTGAGAGCCTTGAAGTGCAACAGTTCTTCCTAAGGCCATCTACACTACAGTAGAACACAGCACCAAAGACACTGACCAAGCTAGCTCTGATGGACTCTGCTCAGTGTATGAAAAGCACTCAAATAGCTCCATTAGCTCCTTCATTCACACTGCCAACACCCCCAGTTCCCAGAACTAACCATCCCAGTGCCAAACAGTTGATGGTGCATCTAGGATCCAACCCAGCTGGTCTGGAACCAGCATCACTTCATGGCACTGCATGAAGCCATTTCACTGAACCAAACAGGATGGGTCCAGAAGGAAAGAGGCAGTAACTCACCAACACCAGCTACCTTCCTTACGCCTGTTACCTCTACATGACAAAAAAATACTGTCAGTGTGGTAACTGATATAATATGTTTGCAATATGACAAATATTAATACAACAATATTTTTCAAAGAGCTTTTATTTTCTTCCTTTCTTGAATATACATAAAATACACAGCACATAGTTTTTATGTTGGTGCATTATTCAAACATGAGATCTCAGTTCAAATACAAAACTCAGAGATCCTCTTTGCTTTGAACCAGGAAGTTAACATCCTATTCCCATGAAAATCCAACACAGATCAGAATCCCTCTATACTTCTGAAAGCAGAGTATTAAAACCTAGTTCAGAAATACATAATTTCATAGTACGGAAAATATATTACCTTTACCTTTACAAGAAAGTTTTATAAGAATTCCTTCAAAAAAGTAAACATTCATGTAAGCCCCCATTCTGTCAATCTCCCAAAATCAAGTGTAGTCAAAGACCACAATGGCTACCTGCGCCTTCCAGACACACGACCATTTCAGAGGAGCACCATCATAACAGTAAAACTGTCAACCAATCCTTTAGCTGTCATAAATATATGTACTTTGTAATTAAAAATACATGAATCTCACATTTCTCAGTTACAATTTGTCACCTTGAATTATATATAAGCATATAAAGCCATATAGGACCCTCTAGCACAGAAAATCCACAAAGCCCTTACTGTCCATTGTAAGCAAAGTCAGATAAACTATTGTCACAAAACATATTATACCTGACATAAAGAAAAGTCTAGCTTGGCAACAATTCTGGTAAAAAACAGGAAAAAAGAAAACCAAATTTAAATGTAGGATATGTAAAACCTATGTCAAGCAGACCCTTCGAAAGTACATCTCTCCAATGACAAGACTCAATGACCTCACAGAAAGAAGAGTAGAATGGTGCACAAGAATTGTTCAGCACTGCAAACAATAGTACTCATGTGCTTCACCTCATTTTCATGAAATCACACGTTTTAATAATTCAAATAATTTATCTAGATTTTTAAAACCCAAGATATTAAACATTAAATGTTCACAGATTAATTTTTAAATTCTGTTCTCAATCCTAACATGTATATTAAAATATACTATTGGGGCACTGCTGAAAAATCCAAGCAGGGTTTGATTGTCTTACACATAACCATGAACATTCAAGAAATGGTTGGTCTATTTTGTGTTTAAAATGTCAATGTTCCCACAAAAGTGAAAAGTCTTAATGATTTGCTTTGCTGTATTCTATAAATGTTAGTTTACAGTCAGTGTTATCGTACAAAACTAGAACTGCCTCTTTCAGAGCCATACGGTCTTCACATCCACTGTAACCTACAGTCATACATCATTTCCAGCTGTGCTGGAAATTTTCTATTATTCTTTATCTGACTTTTCTATTAAAAATAAACAGGCTGGATTTTCATTTTAAAAAGCCCGTCTTCTCCTACAACTTGAAAAACAAGTATCAAAAAAGAACAAACAGCAAAAAATAGAAGAAAGAAACACATTGTGCTAGTTATGAAGCTCTAACACCTGACAGCCACAGAGGAACATTTAAAAACTCCTATATACAAATTTTATATACACACCAAGATTAAGAGGTTAAGAAAATTAGTGTATCTGTTTTTTAATTAATTTTGACCACTTGGGCACCGACCTGCAACTCATACAACAGCCTTTTCAAATGTATTTTTGTGCAATAATCTTGCCTATATGATCTGGCAACAGAATTAGGTCAACACTTTCATCTATGGGTATTTTGAAGCACGCACCTTTTGTTTCAAAGTTAGGTCTTAGTTTCTTGGATAAAACATAGCATATTTGGAAGTTCGAAAGCCAAGCAGGTCTCTCATTTCGTTCCGGAATTTTGACAAGTCCTGCCGCAGTTCATTGAGGTTTTCCACAGTGGCCTGATCTGTACTCTGCATCTTCTGCCTCATGGAAGTCAGGTAACGGTGCACTAAGCAACACATCACCTTTTGGTAATTCTCATCTCTCTTCTGCTTCAGATTTCTCCATTCCTTTAAACAAACATAATATATTTACTATGGAAGTGATTTTTGAGCCCTAAAGCCTGTATACAATTCTACAGAGAAGAATCATGAACAAAGTAACAAAGCTATTTTTTAAATACATCCTGATGTACACAAATATACAATTCATATAAACTGTCCACAAAATGCAAATTAAATTATAATCTGCTGTATCAGCAAAACTGAAAAATTTTATCTACCTGGCTTGGTAATTTTTCTGTAAGCAATCAATAGTTCCATAACCCTGAATGTCTCTCAGTGCAAATTCCATAAAGTGCTTGAATTTATTTATTTAGTGCTATTTTCATCAGCATGAAGATGCAAAATTAGTATGCAAAATTGCAGGGTACGAAAAATGTTTATAAAATAAACAAACAAAAAATCCCTTCCCTAACAATGAGAGGCTTCAGTGATCTTTTTTGGTTATTTATTCTGACACTTCTGTAATATGTTTAAAACCAATTACCTTCTCCAAAGAACATTCTAACCTCACCATTTTTGAGATTAGCACATACTTTCTTGAGGTTTCTATGTGTCTTCATTCAGTCAAAGCATTTTTTTTCAGACTGCTTCTGGGCAAATTGGATGTTGGAGGAAAGTGGGTTGAAATTTCCAAACCAGAAACTTAATAAAACCTAACTAAAGTAGAAATAAGTAACACTTATTTATCTTGGATGCAACACCCATTATTCTGCAGTTCCTATTTATCTTAGTAGCATTCACCTTCTGCAAGGCAGCTTCATGCAGCAATCTGCATT